GGTTTAAGTTGGATATCAGGAGGCGCTACTTCACGGTCAGGGCGGCTAGAGTCTGGAACCAGCTTCCAAGTGAGGTGGTGCAGGCTCCCACCCTGGGGGTTTTTAAGAGGAGGTTGGATGACCACCTTACTGGGGTCATTTGACCCCAGTGCTCTTCCTGCCATGGCAGGGGGTCGGACTAGATGATCTGCTCAGGTCCCTTCCGACCCTAGAAACTATGAAACTATGAAGGTGCCCTGTGCTTGTGTGTGCTGTCTGCTGTTGGTGAGTACCAGCGTTGTCTTGCGAAAGTGGTAGAAGTGGGTCTGGGGGTCAGTACAGTCGAGGTCTTGGAACGTATCCAAATGTGTTGCATTGTAAAGTGGGTTCCCTGTATGGGAATTGGAGTTACGCACCGTTTTCCAGGAATGCATGTACACCATAAAGCGAGGGAAACTTGTAATTGCTTCTTGGCCTCTTGGGCTAAGGTCAAGTGTTATACCTGCAACTAACTGATTTGAACAGGAGTTGTAGGTGCTTCTCACTGCCAAGAGCAGGCAATTACTTAGATGCCTGACTTTAAACTCTTCAGATTGGAAATGTTGGCCATTTAATAGACTTTTCCAACATGGGTGGCTCCAAATCCAGACATCGGCTCTTCAGAACCTGTGTGTGGGGCTAGTGCCAAAATATCTTGCATCTTGCATGTAAACAGATATTCTTTGTAGAGTCTTAAGGAAGTGTTATGGTATTTCAATGCAGATAAATTTAGACACCCACATTTGGCAACTGGTCCCCTAGCTGTTACCAAACGAGTTTATACTAACACAATTTTTTCTCTTGGTCTGTTTGTAACCACTTCTAAAAACATCTAGCATCTGAATAATGTTTATGTGGCTACTTTATGGGGGGGGGGGGGGTACATTCACATGTTGCATAGGCATGCTGCCTCCCCATAGCAGCTTTTAGGCACCGTGGTAGCCTCTTTGACTCAACTGCTCTGATAAAAATCATCAGAAAAGACAGAAAAAAAATAGACATGTTTGTTTACTCCACGGAGCCAGGATTTTAGATGTTTTGATATTTGGCTCCTGTGGAAAAAAAAACAACTGGCTGGTTGTAAAGTCAAGCTGCTTCCCCCTCTCACGTCAGCTACTAACTGGCATACTGCTGCTGTGTCTAAAAGGTTCTGCGTTTGGAGAGGTCGGCTGCTTAACCCTTCAGTGTGCGGTAAGATCCTGTAGCCTGCGCTGTACTTACAGTAAGCTAAAACAAGTCAAACATAAAGGCACTTGCAGACTAACAGAGAAACCTATTAGATATATTATTCTGCAGTATTATTCAACAGACTTGTTGCTGACTTTATAACAGATGACAAGTGTTCAGGTATCATTTTTTGGTTTTTTTTCAGGTTGCATTTTCAAGAATGGTAATCACTGGAAACAGCTTTTAAAAAAAATATTACAGCTTTGATTCCCTTAGCTTTGATCACTTGCCTCCATAGTCCATGCCTTAAAGCACAGAATATCTAAAGACTGACAATAAAATCAAAACAGAGACGTTGCACTGCATGAGGAGTGAAATGCTCTTCTTCACGTGTGCCCCATCAAATGTTGTGTATGTGTGAATGATTATATCTGTGTAGCTTAATCATCCCAGTGACTTCCCTATTAGATTGGCTTATGATGCTGTTCTATGAGTTCATTGCATCATACACTGCTTTCCAAGGCTTTTTGTTATAAATATTTTTGTTGAGGTTTTTGCAGACTAAATCTATCCTGTAAGTAGGCATCATTGTTGTACCAGGGGCTCTCTTAAATGTGCTTTTCTGCATCAGTCATTTCAGGTTTATGATTTTAAATTCATATTCTTTTATACTATAATCTTCTGCTAACAAGTAAAACAGTTGTTCGCTGTATTTTATCTGTCATTTTTCAGCTGCAGCTAGTATGCCATCTGATGTGTTTTGTTGTTCAAAATGAAGTTTTGAACAGCAATACACCTGTCTCCCATTTTAAATTTTACTGGCTTCTCTCAAGTACCTTGAATGTATACGGAGAGAAAGGAATAGTTTATGTCAAGAATTACTGCTTTCTGTTTCAAACATTTGCCTCGAAATGTGAAGGACTTTTGAAAAAACCTTTTATCTTTCAGATGTTTGTTAGCCACTATAGCTGCTGCAGAAGTCTGCGGCAGAGAGCAAAAGAGATAGCTAGTGTGCGTGTGTGAGAGAGAGAGAGAAGTAAAAAGGCAAAAAAGTACCTGAACACAAAAGTCTTGATCTAGACAAACATGCCCAGTTACTAAGTAGTTCGTTCTTAATACAGATAGTAGTTATATTTAATAACTGGGTTTTACCTATCACAAACTCCATGACACTGTTTCACTTTCCTGGCATCATATGTTGTGCCTTGAAGCCATGAAGTGTGAATGATATATAAGATGAAAGGTGATAGCTTCATAAAGATGAAATGCCATATAATCCAGTCTTGAATTCAGACATTCTACAGACCAGAGAATACCCTGTATTATCAAAATGATAACCCAGTATTCCATCTTTCTAATGCAATACCAGTGAATTTCTGCATCGCTATTGCATCTGGACTGGAATGCTGTTTGGAATCTTTGCCAGAAGATACGGGATACCTTAGCATCTTCAGATGGCTTGCTAATGTTTTCTGTGAAAGGACTCTTCTCACTTGAGGAACAGACCATGTTTAATGAGAGAACATAACCATCGCTGTTTTGATTTTTTTTGTTTCCTGAACTGGCAAGAGGAAAGGGTAGTGGCTCCTGTAAGAGTCCCTTTACTCCAGGGACCTGAGTGTTGGGTAAGCTGGAGGAGCACAGGGAAGCCATTGGCTCCTGTGCATGGGGGAAGGTTATGGAACTCCAGGATGTTCAGCCCAAGTCCTTCTCACATTTTCATTAGCAAATCCACTCTTGCCACTCTAAAATTAAATGGATTTTTCCCTCATTGCTAGAATGGGTGCATGGGAGGGTTCTTCCACCTCCCTTAAATCAACATAGGAATCTTGTGGAAGATAAGATTCAAATCACTGCAGTTTAGGAGGTAGCAGATGTTCACTGCAAGTACTTATTCCATAGGAGATTGGGTTTCCTGAAAAACTGGAGCAGGAATTGACATTGGGGCTCCTGACAATAGGTATAATCTTCTTTCATCTGCCTGTTACCTCTGAGATAGAAGGAAAAACAGTTTGTCCTAGTAAAGTGCTTAACACAGGGTGGAAGGCTAAGGGACTAATAGCAACCCTTCACTAGGTAGAATGATTATGGAAGGGCTTGGGTCCTGCACTGACTCATTGTCAGTAGTTCCCAGATGAGCTGAGTTAAGATAATACATTTTCAGTAAAATTAAATTACATGCTTTGCCTCTTGTCTATGTTTCTGGGACAAAGGATGCCCACTGCACAATATACTCTATATAGGTTTTATGTACCTTTTTGTGCTATGAGGAGAACTATTCATCCTCATAGGACAAAAAGCCTTGAGTTCTGCATGCTCAGCACCTCTAAAACTATAGACTTAACTAAGTCAGCAACTTTACTTTTCTTTCTCTAAACATAAGCCCACCAGCTTTGAGTTAGAGGAAAAGGTGTTCCAATGGGATCTTCCTATATTTCTGGTAGTACTTTGTATAGAGCTGCTGTTAAAAGGCACTCAGAAAATGAAAGATTGAGTTCTGCACTGCACCTGAATTCTATCCCCGCACACAGTGAAAGGGGGTCACAGGAACTCATTGCGAGTCCCTAATCCTGCTTTGGCTGGGGTCAGTGGAATGTAAAGCTGATGGGCCAAATGGCATGATCCCTACCCATTCTTTTGCTTTTCCTCATCTGCTTCCCACCCATATACAAGGCAGTGCATCTTCAGTGGGAGAAATGCAAGAGGCAGTGTTGTGGCTTCTTTCACAGCAGATAGAAATCCCCCAGACACATTTGGCCGCTTTGCACCATGGACAACTGACAATAGGATCCAGCTCTACATGAGCATATTACTGCATTAGGACAAAGACAGGTATCTTTACTCTAAAACATGTGGATGCAGTGTTTAGGGCCAGATTGTGATAGCCTTAATCACATCACTCCATGAGGAGTATTGTTGGGTCAGACCATCATCTGGTTTGGAAATAGACACATGCCCCTCTAACTTTGTTAATCTAAACCAGACGAGGGTCTTGTTCATTACGCTACATGGAGTTCTGTTTTCCTCCATATAAAAGTATATCACAACCTGGTCTTTATGATTTATCTGATAATGTTTCAAAAATGGAAGCAGCCTGAAATGTAGCGTACAGTAGAGGGCGTAGTGTTAGAGGTCAGAATTTAATGTAATTACGAATGACTGATTTAAACAGCATGTTTATAAAAAAGCATATGTCTGTGTCTATACAGCAGGGATTTAATTATTTGTTCCTATGTAAATATATTTGTACTGTGGCTGATTTGTTTTTTATTTTTTTTATTCTCTAGCCAAGCTCCAAGACATACTCACAGAGTGGCAGACACTCCGTGTCTGTAGAAGTTCAGATGCAGCGGCAGCGACAGGAAGAGAGGGAGAGTTTTCAGCAAGCTCAGCGCCAGTACAGTTCATTACCCAGGTATGGTAACTGTCTAAAACTATTTGGTGTATATGACCCTGGAGCTCATTTCATTTGCAGAAGGAAAATTATGTGCTTAGTGCATTCACTTCATTTTGAACGATGATATGAGGAGTTATGCAAGCAGTGAGGAATAGAAGTCCATAACCAGAAGCATATGATGGTTCTTTGTCTCATGGTATTATTTCAGAGTCAACTTTGATGGGCATCCAGCATGCTCAGTATGTGACAGAATGGGAACCTTAAAACAGGTCCTTATGGGTCACTGTATGGTATCATTTTTACTTTTAGAAAAAATGACACTTATTAGAGGAGAGAGGAGTATTTTGTGTGTCAGATTTCTTGTCTTGCCTAATTTCTTAATAGACAACAGTTCAACCTTGTTATGCTAACACACAGCCATGCATTGAAGAAAACAAGATAGAAGGACCATGGTGACAACCATGAAAAGCCATTCCCAACTATGGGGCATCCAAGTTTCTGACATATGAGTTTCCTCGAAGCCAACAGATCATTACCATTGGAATGCTGACAATTAATATACTTTAGTGTAAACCAGTGTGTGTTTCTAAAACATTCACAGGCCATTGAACTGTTTAGAGTTCACCACAAAAGCTAAATATTAAATAAAACAAAGGTTTGGGATTTTACCCAACTTGTATTGTAGATTAGACCAGAAGATTGATATTTAAACATTTTATATTAATTCAGATAGTTTTTAGAATTCTCAAACATTGATTGGAGAAATCTGAAATAAGAATAGTAGTAAAGTCAAGCTGCCTCTTCTCAAGAGTACTTTAAGCTTAAAGACTTCTTTGATTTCAGTTGCCGCTTCAATGTAATACTGCATTTGCTTTGATCCCTGCACAGTGATGTTGTGGGGCAGGTAATGGCTGTATACACATCTCCACTAAAACTTTGTAAAAGTGGCAGTAGAACTGTTTTGTAATGCAGCACCAGTAGATGCGTCTTTGTTACAGCTGAGCCAGCTTACCATTAAATCTTTGATTTTGCACCCCATTGTTACCATCAGCCTCTTAAAAAAAACAAACCAAAAAAAAAAACCTGATCTCTTGAGATTTCTGTACACTGCAGCTCATCTCAGGGTAGCGTTTGGAAGAAAATAAGAAAAAAGATGTTTGTTTGTTTGTTTGTTTTTAAAAGGGAGAGAGGAAAGTTGATATTTTGAAAATTTTCTTAATTTTCTCATACATCTCTTCTTACCTCTGTCTTACTTCTAAAATGGTTTAGTCTACAATGCCAAATTTGTCTCCATGAGGAGAAACTACATTTTAGACCTTTTTAATCTGGTTTCCAAAGGGCAAAATAATGGAGGTATATACTGGAGGTATATACAGTAGCATAACTACGGTGGGGTGAGCAGGGCACCTGTCCCAGGCACCAACTTAGAGGGGACACCAAAATAGCTCCATTCCCCACCCTGGGGGGCAGCCCTGCACCGCCCAGCCGTAGATGCCAGGCAGCCCTGTGCTCTGTAATGTTGCTGCAGCTGAAGGGCAGGCTTGCTGTATACCACCGTGGGCTCGTGGCAAAAATCCCAGGGAGGGCTTGCCATTCAGCTCATCCCCTCTGCCCCCATACACTAGAGGACCCAGGGCTGCCTGGCTTCTATGGCTGTCACAGCAAAGACTCCCAGGAGTTGGGAGCATCCTGGTGCCCCTCAGCTGCAGCAGCTTGAGCACATGCTACAGGAGCTGCTCTCAGAGTAGGAAAAGAGCCGAGGAAGGTAAAACTCTTCCTTTCCCTCCCCACTACCATTCTGCTCCCCACCCTGCTCTGCCCACTGTGCTACAGGAACACGCTACCTTGGGGTATATAATGTAAAAAAAAAAAGAACGTGACTGAATATAATTTCAGTGTGATCTAAGATAACAAAGGACTTGTTAGAACATGAATATGAAGAAAGGGGTATAGGAAGCCTCTCTACCCTTGTCAGTGCTAGGATTTTTCACACCTTGTAATTCTCAATGGATGCAGCTCTACCAGGAGACTGGTATGTTGTAAACAAGAGACAGAAAAGCTTAGGTTAGAAAAACCTGGTGGTAAGAAAATGATAAGCTCTTTATAAGGGCTTGCTTGAACCAGTGCCTAGGACCTGCAGGCCATTTCAATCTTGTTAGTTCCAGCAAGTCACATAAGGAAGCATGAACTCTATTTTGAAAGATTTATCTGCCTAAATACTGTGTGTTAGCTTTCCCTAAAAGCTGGAGATCAGTTGTTCTGCAGAGTTCCACTGGTAGAAATTCACGATTTTAAATAAAAATTTGAAAACAAAACAAAAAAGCCAACCAAATCAAAAGAAGCCGAACAACACTGGGAAGTCAGAGAAGCCAACAGAAAGAGAGTAAAAGAAAAATGTACTGAGTAGCTTGATTAGTAATAGAAATGTCAAGTAAATTAAGAATTCTTATTAATGTGTCATTCATGACTGCTTTATAACCAAGTGTTTGTTCTCAGCTCAGGTTAAAGGGAATATTTAGATGATCGTGCTCCAAATACAGAATTAATCCAACATTCAAACAATAAAATGGGACGTCAATCAGTTCTTTAGTCATCCAGATTTTTCATAGCACTATGACTAATCTACAAAGAAATCTCACAGTCACTAATAAAACTTGTGTTGCAAGTTTATTGTTGCAATTACAGTTTTATGATTAACATCAATGCCCTAGCTTTATTCTTAAACTTTGTTTTTTTCCCATCTTGCATAATTTCTAGCAGCTTCATTTTTTGACTCTTTAAATTAAAATAATTAGTGCTCTAGGCAAATGTACTCTTCAGTCATACTTAAGAAATCTTTCCATGAAGACAACACAAGAGAGCCAACTAATTTTGAACTAGTAGCAGAAGACAGTAATTAAATTAGATGGATTCAATTAGTTATTGTCCTGTCCCATGTGAAACTGTTTAAAATAAAGTTTAACTCAGTGTGGTTTTTAAGGCTAACTTTATGTAGGCAAACTTTATGAAAATTTATGTTGCTGTATTTTGAAAACTTGTCAGCTATGTACCATAAGGAGGTTCATTTCATTTTTTCTTGTTTCAGTAATAATAGAACATGGCTCAGTGAGTTTTGGTTTAGAAAGAAGGATATGTGATTATCATCACCAATAGTAATGCTTTGCATTCATACTTAAAAGTAAGCATTTTCATCCAAGATCTCAAGGTCTGTTACAAACATGAGTACGCCCCCATCATTTCCAAGTTATACGTAGGGAAAGAGAAGCCCAGCAAGGTTAAGTGACTTGCCACATACATTGATGTTAGGAAAAGTATCCAGGTCTCCTGATTCCAAACTGCATGTTCAAACCACTAGGCCAAATTGAGCCTTGTTGTTACTCTGTGTTGATATGAAAAACTGAGCCATATATACAGCATCTAGATGATTTTCGTATTGATTAATGTGGCAATATATTTTGTTTTATTGCCTGATTCTTTTACACTAATTTTAATCTCAAAGTGGGTATCTCTCTCATTCCAGCACAAAATTGTTTTACTTTATCATATCCAATCTTATTTTAAATTCATAAAAATGTCTAGTGGCTTGATAGTAAATTAAAGATATTTCAAAACAATAATGTTTTCTTAAAATAATATGGTGATTTATTACAAAAAGTGATAAGAATTTGTAATTCCTATATTCATTGGCTTTATTTATCTACCCTGTGGAGTCAGAAAATGAACAAAATTGGTTATCTTTGCCATTCTTTTTGTGAAAGATATAGCATGCTGGGAAACAGTTGTGATAGTATAAAACTCTTTAATTCTGGAATTGGGAAAAACAAACCATAGTCTGTATAACTATATATCAACAGAGTTTATCTGCTGACTTGTACAGCTTCAAAGCAAATGTTTAAAGGATCGTCTTGTTGCATTTTTAATCAAATAGGAGGCTAGATTCAAATCTTTCATAAGTGACTTATAACCCATTCAACACGCTTAATGTTATCTGGTTTCTGTGGAAGTGTTGCGTTGTGTCATATGTTTTGCTGGTTTGCAATTGAATTGTAACATTTTTGTAAGATGCTAATTATTGCTGTTGTACTGTTTGCCAAATTTACAGTATCTCTACGGTAGTGCCAGGAAACGCATCTAAAATGCAGATGCATTTCTTCTAAGTGAAAGAGAAAAAATGGCCACGTTGGGTGAAAGAGAGGAACAGTTTTTAAGAATTGTACCAGCTCCAAAGCTGACATCAGCTGGAAGATGGATCCATCCAGAGGGAAGAATCTGAAATGTACAAACGCATGCCTGGTCTTCTTCTGTGGTCGGATCTAAAGAAGTATGAATGAGTCCTGGTATCTGTTTAAAAAATAATTTCTATTCTTATTTTCAGGCAAAGCAGAAAAAATGCCAGTTCTGTATCACAAGATTCCTGGGAGCAGAGCTATTCTCCTGGTGAAGGGTTCCAGACTGCAAAAGAAAACCCCAGGTATTCCAGCTATCAGGGATCAAGAAACGGCTACATGGGAGGACATGGCTTCAATGCGAGGGTAATGCTGGAAACACAGGAACTGCTCCGTCAAGAACAGAGGCGGAAAGAACAACAACTGAAAAAAAAGACATCTTCTGAAGGGTCTAACAATTATGACTCGTATAAAAAAATTCAGGACCTTAATTACACCCCTCCAAAAGGCCCTTTTCGGCAAGATGTACCACCTTCACCTTCTCAGGTAGCTAGGCTGAACAGATTACAAACGCCGGAAAAGGGAAGACCATTTTATTCTTGAACTGAAGCAAAAGAAGATCAATGTATCACGCAATAAGGAACAATTTCATATAAAGACTTGTATTTTGAAAACTTTTTAAACTGATGGTACTAAGGGGTATATGTGTTGTCTGTTTCAGTGCCTTTAACAATATAGGCAGAGAGTTGGTGGGCCTTATGTCTTTGCCATTCTGTCTCAAGTGTTATATTCATGGAAGGATTTTCCACCATTTGACAATCATACCTTAGGTAAGCAACATGTCTCCCTTGGTTACCGAGCATCCTAGTCCAGTCCAATAGCTGTCAATGGCTTATAAGAATTTGTTATAATGCATTCTGTTTTTCAGTGAGTTATTACACCAACATACAACGCTGTGGCATAAAATTAATGAATCTGAAGTTGAAGAAAGCATTGACATACCTTTTTTTTTTTATTTCTCTTGGGGTGAGGGGCGGGTTACATATCACTTCGGAGTGGATAGGGCTCAAGTCCACTCAGGATATCACTTTAAGATGTTTTATGGTGGAGTCATTTACAGTCTTTGTTGATCAATATTTAACTGTCTATATGCTGAAATTTTTTTTCCTACTATGCACATGTGCATTGCCTCTTCCCCCACCCCCCTGCACTTATTAAAAAAAACAAAAACAAACAAAAAAAAAACATTTATCCTGATTTGTGAGCAAAACAATATTCTGGCTTTCAGTGTTCATGGGAATCCTGTTACATTTGTCTTCTATTTTCACACACAATGTATTACCAGGGAAATAACTAGAGAGAGGCTATTATATTTATAAATAAAATCTCAGTCAAGGCATAGCAGCTTTATCTGTTCTTACATGAAGTATAGGGTATAGTGGAAAACCAGCAACTGGGTTGTATATTGTTTTTCATAAACATGAATTTGATCAGATGAAACCCATATATAAGAAAAGAGTGAGGGGAAGAATCATCCCACCATCATCCTTTATATGTTGATAATCTGATTTCATTTTGGCAGGCTTGGGAGGGGGACTCAAAGCAAGACAAAAATGGAATTGGATTTTTTTGGATCAAAAAACCCTGAAAATAGGATTTTTCTACAACCTGTAAAGTCTTGTGGGCAATTGCCTTGTGCTTCCATATGCTGTATCTTTGCATTGTGATTTCACATCAGAAACAAACTCTGAAGTGTTTGCAAAAGAGATAAATGGAGAAAAAATGTTACACATCATCCCAAAAGCGTGTCAGTGTCCAAAAATAACCAAAACAAAATGATTGCTCTAACAGTGATATTTTAACGTGCATATGGGATATGAGAATTTCTTTTGCAGCAGCTGTTTTTATGTTTGTTGGTCTGAACTTCTTGTATTGTAAACATATAGCTGGGTTGCTAAAGTGCCTGCAAATCCTGATGTGAAAAGGCTTGAGAAAAAAGCTCAGCATAACATGTGAAAAAAGAAAGAAAAAAATCATGTATTGCGTGATTTAAAATATGCCTTTTTTTTTTTTTACCGGCACATTTTATTTTTGCGTCAACCTGTTTTTAGAATATATGTGAAATTTCAGCACACATAACTGTGTCTTTTATGCCTGTTTGTAATGGTTTTTGCTGTTAATAATGTAATCCATGTTTAAAAATTGTTACTAATGTAAACACATTGACATTGGATGACTATGGCTCTTTTACACAGAGTTTACAAAACTGTGTAAAATAGCTTTCCTTGTACATATAAAATTTAGAATAAAAGACTGTTTCCATCCTGGTCTTAGTATTGCCTGCTGTATTCCTTGGTACTGCCTGCTAAACCTTATGAAAACTTAGCAGTCATTAGCTTTAAAAATACTTAACAGATGTTATTTTATCATATTCCTAATGGTTTACATCTGTCTTTCTGTGAATGCATATAAACATAGTCAAAACAGAAGAGATTTCTAATCAAGCTGAGCATCTAACAAGTATCTCAGAAAATATGCAAATACATGTCTAATGATATTTTAGACCAGAACTGTGACATTAAAACGAAAGCTGAATCCTAGGGCACTTCTCTAAGTTCTCTCTACATCTCTCCACCAAAGCCAGGAGCACAATCAACAAACAAATTGGGTGTGTCCCCATGAGTGCGCATGTGCATTTTGCGGCACCTCAAAGCAGCTTGAGGCACTGCACACAGCACATGTGCAAGTGTTTGCTGCACTGGTCATTTCAGCACAATGGGTTTTTTTGACACTGAGAGATCCCAGTGTCAGAAAAAATCACTGCTGAAAAAAGCAGCATGGTGCACATGGCAGCAGCGTGTGCTGCAGGAAAGCAGAGCCTGGTTCCCAAACCAGGACCCCAGGTAAGGCTGCTGAGACCAGCACAGGTGCTGGCTCCAGCATCTCCTACCCCATATGGGCCACTTTGCCACGCACTGGAGCGTGTGTGCTGGAGTGTGCCTGGGTACAAATAGCAGCGGCACAAATATGTACCGCTGCTATATGTCGCATGGGAAATGCATGCCCCTGCATGTGTGTGCTTGTGGAGATGTGCCCATTAATTCCAATTTATGCTCCACCAGTGGCCGAAATCTCTCCCTGGATAGGGATATATTGATTGTTGTTAGTACAATGCTGCTTGTGGTGTTTACAAGCATCACACCCGACTTGGTCTTCAGTGGTCAAAATGTTGAGGATATTGTTCCTGCGAGCCTAGAATGACGAATCTTTTTACAGGCTGTTTCAGGTGTTGCTTAGGATTTCACTTCAAGAATGATGTTGCAAGTAGGAAAAGCATGAAATAGCAGATTTTAAAAACAAAACAATGCTACTGTGCCAGTGATATTTTGTTTCTCCCATTAGTACTGAAGCTGTTTTTTTCTCCCTTTCCACCCAGCTTTTTTTGTTTTCTTAAATCCTGCCACAATGTCAGTCATAATCTTGTATGTGCATGACATCAGTCTGTTGCCATGGCAATAATAATGTCAAATTATTCATTGTGACTTTAGTGTAGACTCCCATGAGGGAGGATAAGACGGGTTGCAAGGTGGACAAGCCATTTTTGATGCACAAATATATCCAAGGTTTTTGAAATTGTGATCTATGCTTTGGTGACATGCAATTGCGAGTAAGCAAATAATTGCACTCTCAATTTTGCCAGTCCAAAATAACTCACCTGTGGAGTATGTCGTCTTCAACATAGTTTTATGTTTCTATGGTATCACCTGTGTATGCAAATAATTGCAGTTGTTAAAAAGCATCCACCAAAATGGAACACAGGTTGAATTATTTTCCAAATCAGCCATTGATAAACTAATAAAAAAGGCGCAGACATGGAAAAGTATGGAAACCCAAAAGAAATGTGTTTTATGTGCAAGTATGGAATATGTTAAAGTTTGCCCTTGGATGACATTCCCCTTCAAGGTGTTAACAATTTGCCACAATTAGACTTGTTCACGAAAAAAGGCAGATGTTCTCTTTGGGCAATGTCTGTGTTTTGTTAGCTAAGAATATGGTATTTTTCTGTGTTATCCTTCTGCCTTCTTCCTGACACAGCATAGACAGGATTTCTAATATTAAACTCCCATAAGTTGCAAAGGGCAATAAGCAAGAGGGAGGGAAATATTTTAATAGAAAATGACCTTTACTTCTGACTAGTGAATAGATCCAAAAGCTAATTGAGCTAACTACATTACTGCAGCAATTTGTTTGTGGACTTATTAAAGTTATGAGACCAACTTGGCGAGGTTAATATATCTAGAGAAGGTCATGAGACAGAATTTTAGGGAGCTTCAGAAGGATTGAGCAGTGACTTACACATCAGTCAGAATTTTCTCTATCTCAGTAGATAGCCTAAAAACCATCTGTGAATCCTCCTGGTATTTTATCAAAGCAATTTGTTACTGCTATTGAAATTCCATGGGAAAGTTTTATGTTATTAATGTGTGGCTCTCTCCTGCTTTTCTATAAAAGCATGCTTCCTCTTGTGAAATAGGGTCTCCTTAGAACAGGGCTTTAGCCTCACTGAGTTACTTTACGGCCCACATATTTTAAAATACATCTTTGAGGAATCTGCCATCAAAAACAGTTAAAAATGGCTCGGTGCCCAGTAGAGTGTAGGCTTAAAGTGCAATTGCCATTTATTGCTGGCAAACAGCAGGAAGTGCAGCAAAACTCAATTTAAACCAATTTTGACCTATGATATATGATTTAGGCTTCAAGGATCTACTTATGTCTGTCTCGCATTTCTTTGTTTCTGACGGTGTTAGTGGAGCAGCATTTATCTGTACTGCTTATATGGGAAAGTGAAAAGGAAAAAACATTGGCCAGACAAGGAAGAGATGTACCAGATTACCAGTGTTGGCTAAAGACAGGATATTCTTGAATAATTCAGATCTTTGAACTTGTGTTGTTGAGACTAAAAGTGAAGTTGGCTATTACATATCCTGGCTTGATGCTCTATTTTCAAAACATCCCCTAATTTTATTTGCTGTACTTGCCTGTTTCTTCCTCCCATTCTCTCATTCTGTAGTCTACACTTTCTTTTGCAGGACTTGTAAGGAACCAGGTCCAGCATGCAAATACAGGACAAAATATGTATGCTGTTGATTTTGCATTTGTGTTACTCTGCCCTCAGCTTCCAAACTAACCTTTAAAATCAGTCTTTTCCTACAAAAAAAGGAGGATGGGAGGGGACCTGAAATGGATAGAGTGTGCATGCGCGTGTTTATGTGCATGCATGATGGAACAAAATACACAAGTTGTATTGCTTTGCTTTTAATTCATGTCCATCTTAAAACACATCTTCAAATATTTTATAATGCCTCTTAAGAGTCGTCTTCCATCTGTGCAGAAACCAGCTGATGGTTTGATGCAAATTATTATTGTTTCATGACCTCACACAATTTATTTTTCCGTTTTAGATTTGCATTATACTATATTTCTTTTATATTCGCTGATTAATTCTGTCGCTTTTATTTGTGTCTCTTGATGGCCCAGCACCCATTAGCTTTATAGGCAGTTTCTTGCTCATGATTGATATTCCCCCCCCCACCCCCCCCCAGCTTCATCAAACTTATTTTGATATTTTCTGTTCTCAGACTGGTGTTTCCCTTTTTTGTAATTCACAGTTTGTACTTTCACTGGGATGGAATTTTAAAAATGACTCAGGAAAGACAGTAGAATGACACCAGGGCCAGATAAAGAATACATCATTTTTATCGTGTATTTGCATTTTGTGCATGTTTCCTAGGAACAAGGGAACTACAGTGAAGACTGTTGGAATGAGAGGGGGGAAAAGTGGCAAGCACACTAAATACAATAAGGGAATATTTTAATAGATATTATTTAATTTGAGCATTATGGTTGTGCCCACAGCTGGCTAGGCACTGTCCAATAAAATAATAAAACATTTCCACTGTGACTAGCTAAAAAATTAAGAGAACAAGCAAAGGGGAAAAAAGTGGAGGGTGAGGAAAAGGAATTACTTCTTTAAGTAAAGCAATAGTAACTATCACCATCCCAGCCACTGGCATTTGGCCTATTTCTCATATGCGTAAGAGGAAAATTAGTCCTGAGGAGGGATTTGAAGGAAGAGTGGGCAGTAACCTTATAGATTAACTCCAGTTCCTCTTATAGATATTCTCTTAGTGTGTTTTCCACAAAAAGTGAATTAA